TCCTGCTGATAACCCAGGGCTTCCTTTCTTCCCATTTGCAGTTTAGCCTACACTGAGGGTGAAAATGGGCACAGATACTGGTGTGTGTGTGTCTCTAGAGACAGAGAGGGAGCCAGGGAGAATGGCATTTTGAGAAATCTTATACAGAGATTTATGGGATCTGACAAGAGTAGCCATTGTGTGCAGGGATGCTGTGCTGATTGATTTTCACTGGCAAATGGTGCCCTTCCAGCCATGTCCTAGTCATGGCTTTGCCCCCCTCACCTCAGAGGCCTGCTGTTCCACATGGTGGTGGGGTAGGTAACAGTGTCTGTTCATTCAGAAGAGTATTCCTCACTGATGTGTCTGAATTATATATATATATTCCATTATAATGGCACTATAATGGAAAAGACACCTGGTCTGAAGCTTTGAGTGTCATGCCCTGAATGAAAGAAACAGCAAGATGCTGATTACAAGTCAAACCAGCATCTCTCTCTCCCCACCTCCACATACCAATGCACTGAAACTCCCCTGACAACAAGCAAAACCAGTGCCTCCTCCCTGCTACCATCCTCAAATACCCCCTGGCTTGTGCCTCAGAGATCTGCAGCAATGCCCTCCAGGTCAGAAGGTTCCAGCTCTTGGGTGTGCTCTGCTCCAGAACGTGTCACAAACCTGCAGCCCCTGCCTGGGTGCAGAAAGAGAGAGAGAGAGAGAGGAAACCTGTGCCAGGCGCTTCCAGCCGCAGGAACATCCCACAGCAGCTGAATTATTAATAAGTGAGGCTTCTTGCCCTGTCTCTGCATTCACAACACATGCTGTAGTGAAGAACAAAGGCTGGAAGCTTGTGTGAACAGTCAGAAAGTTTTCACAGGGAAGGTTTAATCACTATTTTCAGTGGGAAAGAAGAGCAGCAGTTTTTATTCCATCTGTCCTGCTTATGCATTTTTTTGGGGAAGAAATGTTTAGTTGTAAATGACCAGGCAGATAATTCTCTGCTTTCCACTAATGATTTAAGCAATAGAATGAGGAAAATAAAATGAATGGACAAGGATAATTCCCCCGGGGTAGTGTAAATCCAGTCTGAAATACACTTGAACAGACGTTTTGTGAGGTACATTCCTGGCAACTGAATCTATTTGTTGTTGTGACGAATAAAATGACAGTTTAAGAACCATTGAAATGGCCAAATAAAAATGTGTTGTCATTTCAGCAGTTTAAAAGAGGTGCCAGTCCTGCTTCAGAGGTTTGACTTTGTGTATGTTTAAAAAAACCACAACATAAAAAGCTTTTTACCCCATCACTAAGCAAGTCATAATAACTTTTGACTTATGTATATTGTGCTTTCTCTTCTCTCAATCCCAACCAACAAAAAAGAGAAAGCATTGAAATGGAAATTTTGACTTCTAGCCTAAGCTTCACTAAAGGAAAATGGCTTTACAGTGAAGTATTAACAGATTAGACAGACAGTATCTTGCTCTCTCTCCCTCTTTCAGAGAAGGGAGACATTTCCTGGCTGTTTGTGTGGCTTTATCAGCAGCCTAATATTTTAATTCCATTTCTCTCACCAATGACAAGACTGTGAAACGAATTTCCTGGGAAATCTTCCCTTTCAAATTTCTTTGCTCAACCTGGCATCTGGTCAGCTAAACTCACAGTCTCCCCCCTCCTGGCCCCCGTGTCGGAGTGCTCGTTCTTAGGGAAAATATCCCAGAATAGTTCCTCCTTGGATAACTGCTGAGAATCAGGCAACTGGAGGTAAGGAACTTAAATTTCACAGGTGACATGTTCAAGCAAATCTCTTTGGATTTAACAGCAGCTAGAGACCCTCCAGCACTCTGTGGGAACTGAGGCATTTATTTAGGTACCTAAACACAGATGGAGAACCTCATTTTTAGGCACAAAAGCATCTTGGCCTAAACCCTTTTTTTTTTTTTCTGAGGTGCTAGAGAGACTGGGCTGTCATCCTGGTGGGACCAAGGCAGAAATCTTCACTGGAAGTTGGAACTAGCCCACCAGAGCCCCCTAAATTCCTCCTTTTGTTAGAAGATTCTGGTTTTATAGGCACAAATGGTCTCCAAGCAAAACAAATGCACTGTGAGGAACACCAATAGTTTATCTTGGGCTAGGTGTTCTCCTTGGTGAAGAAGTACTTAAATGAAGTCTTATCAAAATATCTGCAAGTGAGCAGAAAGTTTCTGTCTTGCAGCTTATGCCTGATACAAACCCAAATGCAAAGGATGTTTTTGGAAAGCATCACATGGGGCTCACCAATGTAGTCACTAGATTTTTGCTAGTTCCTTTTAACAAAAGTGAAAAGCTAGTTCCTAGGAGCATAAGACTGAATGATTTAGAATGAACTCATTGCCAAACAAAGGTGTCTGTAGCTTACTTGGGTTTATGGTAGGATCTCAATAGTTTGCCCACACTGAGAGAGAGAAATATCACAGGAAGATAATAGTTGTGGACAAGGCAACAGGGAACTATTTGTTTCTGAGGATAAAAGAACAAATGAAATGCAGTGAGATCATCAAGCAGCAAGGTTAAAATGACTCGTGCACTAGTTTTGAAAGTGTCAGTGTTGAGGAATCCAACCTACAATCCATGGACCCACAGGCCTGATTTGAGGTGTGGGAGTGCTCTCCCTGAAGTGAATGATGCTATCAGACAGATGTAGGAACAAGGCCTAGGGTTTGAATTAACATCTGCTGTGCATCCAAGTGAAGTCATAGGAAAAATGGGGGTGCTCAAAATTCTACTCAAGATGACAGAGCAAAAAACAACTTTTGAGTTGGTTTCTTCTCTACTCAGTTTTCTGTATGACTTAGTGGTTAGGATTGATGATGTTAAAGGTCTTTTCCAACCAAAGCAATTCTATGATACTATAATTTTAGGAACTGGTGAAGGAAGCTTTAAGTTAGCCACACTTTCAATCTCTTTTTTGTTTTTTGTAGGTATTTTCTTATCAGCTCACCCATATCCGGGAGGACAGAGTCAGGAGCAAGTAATGTAAGAAGATGCATTTTCTTGATGTCTGAATTGTTCAGCTTCAGGAGAAGCAAACCAGCTTCTTGGAAACTATAAAGCAGCCTAAATTACTGAATATCTTTGTCTAAATGATAGAAGTGCTCTCTTCCTTGTCTTATTTCCTCTCTGCATGAATAGCATCCTGCATGCCATAGAGCTACAGGCTCCTGGTAGGATTTCTTCAAATAACCCCATTATAGATCTGGAGGTCACAGTTCCAGCATCACGCATTTTTGTGCTATGGCACAATAATAGTAATAATAACAGGAGTAAAAACAACAAGAACTTTTCCCTTTGGCCTTTCCCTATGGCACAGTGTTAGACTCAGTGCTGTGAGTCCTTTTTTTCTAGGCATAGTTACCACCAGCAGAAGATGCTGGCACAGATCAGGACCTCTTTGCTTCTGAGCTCTAAATCTTGTCTCTGCAAGAGGGAAACCTACCACTTTGACCCTCCATGTCCATCTTCCTCTGCTTTCTCCCCAGGCTCAACAGCTTACTCGACATCATTGTTTCCATGTCTGTTTTGGTTGGCTACTCTATCACAACAGCAAGCTTTGTGCTCTACGTGGTAAAAGAACACCAAACCAAGGCCAAACAACTGCAGCACATTTCAGGCCTTGGGATGATGAGCTATTGGGTGACTAACTTCATTTATGATCTGGTAAATAATTCATGTTCCTAAATGCACCGAGAGTAGCATTACACAGTGTGGGGGGGAAGTTCTTTATTTAAAGTTGGTTGCCTAGACTTCTTAGTATTATTACTACCAAGAGAGTTATGTAGTAATTGTTCTCCAAGGCACTGAAGACTGTTAAATGTGAACTGCAAGAGTGGGTTTTGCTAAGCAAAGGCATTCCTTCTCTCTGGAGTGTATGCAAAACACTCAGCACATTTATATGAGAGCAGCACAGAACAGGCCAGAGCTTGATTTCCTGTTTAACATGCAAGCTGTTAGCTTGCAGGGTTAGATTAGTTGTCATGCAGGCTTTACACATCTGGGGTATGGCTTTGGGGCTGAAGGCTACAGCCATTCTGGAAACCCTAGGGTGCAACATTAATAAACATCTCACAGCTGACACCCCCCCCCCTTTTGGGCAAAAATCCATTGCTGGGTTGAATGCTCTCTTTAAGATTATAGATTGCAAAAGTTTTTAAGCCAGGGAAAGCTAATAATGCAGCCATATACCTTCTAGGACCTGAGCAAGTTCCTTTCCATGGTGCCACACTGCACTGTGTAGATTTACCACCTTGTTCCTGTCAGTGGGTGAGCTCCTCAGCACTGTGCTGCATTACATGGTGTGGGCATGCCCTTGTTCTCCCTGAAGTTATGTTTCCTCATGGTAAAGAGGGTTAATAGCACTTCTGGGAAGCATTGCTGGGCTCAGAGGATAAATATGCACAATGTCTGTAGACTAAAGTGCCTTGTGTCATAGGGATTACCTCCAGTGCACAATGTCAAACCCTCACACAGACACAGCTCTGCAAGTGCATGCTGTCTCTGCTCATGAGTTTTGGCACTGCCAGCCATGCTGTGATGGTGATCAGCTCTGTGTAGCTGACAAATTTCCATCAGTACAGTTCTGCTGGTGACTCAAATCCCAGAGGTGGTGTCATCAGTTCCTGAACACATAATCTTCAGGGGTGTTTGACTGGCCAGCCCCCTTTCATGCAGTGAAAGCTAAGGGCTGTGAAACCCCTTGGGAATGTGCACCTTGACTTGGTGCAGAGCACAAGCATAACCTTCCGGGTGGTTGGTAACACTGATGCACACACTAACAAAGCAGTCCTAACCATACTGTGCTCCCCAGTAAATAATACCCTGTTTATAGGGGCTGGTGTAATGAAGCATCATCACAGGTACCTCCTGCCTTGTCCAGGGAAGGGGGCTGAAGGCGCCAGGCTGCAGTCTGGCTTGGCAGAGCAGCCCCAAGCCTCAGCACAGGGGCAAGGGTGGAGCAGTGTCTGCTTCCCTGATCCCAGCTGTAGCTCCAGTGCTGCATATTTGTAAATCAGGCTGCAGGAAAACCCCCAGAGCCCCTGCCACAATCAGTGCTCAGCAGGCTGAAACTAATCCAGTGCTCTCGGCAACTTGATATTGCTCCATGAATCCCTGCCAGTAAATTCTTTTCCCTTCCAAAGCTGGGGAAGAGAGGAACCTCTCGAGGCAGAGGTTTGGGTAGGTCTCTGGCTTGACTCAACATTAGAAAGACCAGATTTACAGGGTAAGATAAAGTGGTCTGACTGCAAGGCTAACAGAAAACCCAAAGGGGCATTTTTCACTCACAACCTTTTTATCAGGCTCTTCCTGCCCACAGTCCTGACTGTTGAAGCTTAGCCTGTTCAACGTGGCTTTGTGGGAGTTCATCTGCAGGACTCCTGAGAGTCTCAGGAGGACTGAGACCCTTCCTGTAGTTGGTTTCCCTTGGAAAACCCAAGCTGCACTCATTGGGACCATTCAGACCCACCTTTGTTGCTTCTGCGCAGTGCTAGAAAAATGCTTAAGAATTATGGTCCTAATAACATCTTTTTAATATAATTTTGCAGGTACTTTTTATGGTCCCTATTGGACTCTCGATAGGAGTTATTTCATCCTTCCAGATACCAGCTTTCTGCAACAACAGTAACTTACTGGCAGTATTTCTTCTGCTGTTACTGTTTGGGTAAGTGTGGAGCTTAGTTAAATGTCATTGCTCAGAGTGAGGACCTGGGTGTTGCAGGGGCTGCTGCAGTTTGGGATCCAAAGGAGGAACACGTGGGCTTTTTTCTTCAATGTTCACTTTACTTGCTCCTTCTAGGAGCAGTGAAGCTGAACTACTGGTGTCATGCCCACTTTATTCAAAGCAAACTCAACTGAGGGTATGAAATATTCAAGGTCACAGTGACAGCCCAAGCTGTAAACAGATGTTTACTGAACTATTGCAAAGTTCAAGATACAGAAGCATTTCAAAATAATAGGAAAAAAACCCAAACAACTCAGCAGCACAATTCAGGAAAACTTAGCAAAACTGTCTCCCAGGCTTTGAATCCTTCAGGCCCACTCTGTCTGTTTACAGTCAGGACTTTATGTTCCCAGTATGTATCATAAACTTCATCTGCTAATTCTAAGAGCTATTTTTCCTTCTGTAAGCTCCTGAAATATGAACATTTAATTGCATGGCAGAACAAAAATTGTTATTTTGTTTTAGGTCTGTAGTTTTTTTTGCTCTCAGTTGCTCTTTGAGTTACTTCAGGATTCTCTGCACTGTTGGTATTTTACAGATATGCAACGTTTTCATGGATGTACCTGCTGGCTGGGGTTTTCAAAGAAACAGGAATGGCCTTCATTGTTTATGTCTGTGTCAACTTGTTCTTTGGCATCAACACTATCATAACTCACTCAGTTGTATTTCTGCTCTCCCAGGAAAAGGCCACAGATCAGGTAGGAATCCTACTAATACTAAACCCCTGGGGAAACAACAGGAGGTCTCCTGTTGAGTTTGGTGGCTTTGATCAGGTCCTTAGCAGCTGGCTGGTTTCAAGATATTTGAGGGAGATCAAGCAGAGGACACTATAGTTACAATACTTAATGGGGTTTCTCTAAGACAGAACATGAGTCAGATACAAATCTTGCTTGACTGTAAATCTGCACCCCCAGCAAAGAAGGGAATGATGGTGACAGAGGGGACAATACAAAAAAAGAGAGGAAGGAAACTGCCCATGCAAAGAAGGGCAAGAGGCAGATGTAGATGATGATGAAAAGCTACTGGGGACTTGGAACCCTTGCTAAGTTTTTGCAGTGTGAACTGTGGAGAGTGACAACTAGATGTCATTGCCCTGAGTCTGACATGTGCTGCATTCAGCCCAGCACTGACTGTCATGTAGGTCTGTAATGCAATCATCTTCTCCCTGCAAGGATGAAAAATGAGACTGTGGTGATTCCCTAAAGTAAAGCCTTTTTTTGAACTGAGATATTTCTTGGGATCACTGGGATAGAATGTACATCCTACTTTTTTTTTTTTTTTTTTTTTTTTTTTTTTTTTTTTTTTTTTTTTTTTTTTTTTGAGAAGGGCAACTGTTTTGTAGAACAAGAGCTGAGTTGGTTTCTTCTCTCTAGCTGGACAGTTCTTGTTTAGCAACCCCTTGGATTTTAGGGACGTGCAATTTTGATGATCCCTGTGTGTCCCAGGGGCAGGGAGTCAATCTCTTTTCATGCTAATTTACTGCCTCTCCACTTTGCTGTGTGCACTAATCCTTTATTTTGCTAGGAAGGTACCAAAGCTTTTTGTGTGCGACTGCCCTTCTATGGCTATTAAAGCCAAATCTTGTGTTTTATGGAGCAGGACTGGGCTGGTGCAGCAGCTCTGGTTTTGGGAGGCAGCTCAAGGGCAGGATTCAGCCTCAGCTCATGGGTGAGTTTGGGGCTGCTGTGAGCACAGGGTGAGGCAGCTGGAGCAGCAAAGAGGGGCTGCACCAGGAACTGGCTGCTGTTTGCCAGGGGTGCTCAGCCCCTCAGAGCTGCCTGTTGACTTTTCTGACCTTGTGGCTGTGAAAGGAGCTGTCTCCATAGTTCTTTGCTCTCCATTTGTCTCTGCTCTGAGACACAAACAAATCCCAGTGTAATTGTTTCACTCCAGTCCCACAGTAAAACCTATAAATTTATTCTGGGAATAAAAACAATTACTGATTGTGCTACTTTTTTTTGTTTGTTTTGTTGTGTTTCTTTTTCAGGGCTTGCATGATCTTGCTGAAAACTTAAGGCATGCATTCCTTCTGTTCCCACAATTTTGCTTTGGCTATGGTTTGATTGAACTCTCACAGGATCAGGCACTTCTGGGCTTCCTGAAAGCTTATGGAGTGGACTACCCTGACAAAACCTTTAAGTTGGACAAGACCACATCCAAGCTGTTTGCCATGTTTGTCCAGGGCACTGTGTTTTTTGCCATTCGTCTCACAGTTCATGACAGGATGATTCAGAGAGCCTGGAACAAAATACTTGAGTAAGTAGCAGCTGGTGCCTCCTGATGAAAACAAAGCCAGTGCTCGGTGGTTGAATTCTGGGCTCTTGCACCATCATTGCCAATCATGAAGCTCATAGATTTCCAAGACACTTTGCAAACATGGGAGTAAGTTGTGTGGGTTTTTTTTCTGGTAGCAGTCCCAGGACCTACCAGTAATTAGAACGTTGGCTAATAAAGGCATAGGTTGCTGGACTCCCTTGGTAGCTGAATTTATGGCCCTTGATTCAGGGCTCTGGGTTTGGAAGGCTGATGTGCAGCTGGTTGGTAAGAGGAGTCAGTCCATTGGGAGCACCCTCTGCTCGCATCTCCCCATCTCTGGGTTTGGAAGGCTGATGTGCAGCTGGTTGGTAAGAGGAGTCAGTCCATTGGGAGCACCCTCTGCTTGCATCTCCCTATCTCCTCTGGCTTGGGTGCACACAGCGAGGAGCAAGAACAGTCCTGTCCCCTGCATTCTGAGTGTGTCTGTGGGGCAGGAGCTCCTTCAGCTCAGAATCTTTGCTGCAGATGAGAAAAAAAAAAAAAAATGAGGCTGGAAAAGAAGGCTGGGGTTTAAAATTCCCTACATGGTGCAAATATTAAGAGTGAGCAGAACGTGTGTTATGTGTGTATGTTGACATGCCCTGAGGTCTCACAGGGAGGCTCCTTAGGGCTCACCCTGCTGTCTGCTTGCCAGAGGGTCAGGTCCCCTCTCTGTCCTCCCCGTAGGTTCCTGTTTGACAGGGTACACGGCAAAGCAGCACTTCTGCCCCCCGTGGCTGAAGAGGATGGGGACGTCCAGGCAGAGAGGAACCGGGTGGAGTCTGGCAAAGCTGACTTCGACGTGGTGCAGCTCCAGAACCTCACCAAGATCTACCACCTGCCTCAGAAACGCATCGTGGCTGTGAAAAACATC